ACAAGATCTTGGTCAGCCCCACGCCTAATCAACTTGGCAAGAGCAAGCTCTCCCTCAGCACGTTCAATTACCTCTTTAGCTCTGTTGTGTTCAGACCGGACTATCACCTTCATGGCCTCTGTCATCCAGAAGCTGCTTGTTACTCCTTTGAAGAGCTGATCACACAAGATGTACAAGTCTAAAAACTAGAAAGACAAATAAACAAGGGAAAAAGATGAAAAACAAAAAGATCTTGGATACCTTCACAGTCCTTTTTGAAGCCCTCAAACTTCTCAGATGCCTCCTGCAAAGCAGCCAGGGCATCATTCTTCCTCCGCTCTGACTCGCCAATTTGGGCGCGGAGAGCTCCTTCGGTGACTTGGCGCCCCTGACGCTCTGCCTCAAGCTTGGCCTGCTTAGTAGCCAACTCGGCCTTCAAGAGATTCACCTCGGAGGCCAGTTTCTTTTCAACTTTGCCAGAGCCAAAAAAGCTTGAGTGATTTCGAGAGTAGGCCTTAGACGAAGAAAGAAAAATATAAGAAGAAGGCAAAAGAAGCGAACATCAAGCCAAAAAGAAAGAGAGAACAAAAGATAAAGACTACTCACCTGTAACTTCTCTTTAAAAGAGGACACCCCCGCCATCAAGCTAACCCATGAAGAAGACAACTCAGAAAGATGAAAGGCAGGGTTGAACCCCCTCAACACCTCATCCACCAGACGCTGATCACCCGCAAAGCGAATGGCATCAGGGGAAGATGGCAAGAGAGCCGATGCCCTGACCAAGGTCGCATCATGAACAGCATCAACTCTAGCCATGGATGCAGCCGAGTTCTGCGCCACGGTCACATCCTCCTCAACCCGGGCAGACTCCACTTGATCGATGGAGTGCTATTGGACCATGGTGGTCACCTCCTCCGCCACAACAACACTGAGAGTATGCCCTGAGTCCTAGGACGTAGCAGGTAGAGAAGAGGCAACCATCGGCATAGCTTCAACCTGGGTAGAGGTGGAAGTTGAGCCAAGAGACGGCATCAACGCCAACCTTTAAGTACAAAAGAACTCATCAGAAATACAATAAGATAAAGAGTTGCATAGATAAGTCGAAAAACTCACGTGGCAGTCTTCTTCATTATACCAATGCCACCAAGCCAACCAAAAGCCAGCTTAGGAGGAGTCATGGCAACAGACAAAATATCAACACCTGCTTGGGAAGGAGCTGACAGGTCTGGCACTATGACTTCGCTAGAACCTTGATCCAATTTATGACCACTGACAAAAGTGTGAGAACATCAAAACCAAAAAAAAGCCAGATCGTTGAAAAATAACAAAGAATAGATGTTTTGAATTGACTGCTTACCGACGGGCAATGAGAGGCATGTCCTCCCCTTCATCCTCTTCCTCGACAAGGTTCACCGAGGAACTAGCTAGACAAACAGAGAACTCGGGTAAACAAGAAACCACCAAAAAGGAACAGAATAAAGTCAATGATAAGCTCACCTAGGAGCATGCTACCTGAGATCTGCACACCTAAGGAACGAAGCCTCTTCGGAGTAGACGCACCGACAGAAGAACTATCCATCAGCACCCTCTCCACGGCAGTTCGGGCAGCGTGGGGCACAACTCGGGGAACATAATCCATGTATAGAGAACCAAGTTCAACCAAAGAAGCACCCGACATGCTAACTGAATAGCATCCGAATGCACAACAACCGGGCTGTCCTCAAGAGGCAACGGGAGCATGTCATCAAAATTCTGCCCAAACTCCTGCACCAAGTTGACTCACATCAAGATACTATGCAAAGAAGACGGAAAAGCGATGAATCTAAAGAGGAGAACACTTATAGCAGGAGGCGGACTGGTGGCAGAGTACTCATCAACCCTATGCGGGTAACGCTTACACCCTTCAGAATCTTGCAGAGGCGCTCCAAGACTTCGTCCTCCGTCAGCTCCCTTGTTGGAACCATCCGAGACAGGTCCTCGGCCCCGGCATACTCAAAGCCATAGGTCTCCCTCGCCTTCAAGGGCTAAACCTAGCGGCGAAGGTAGCTAGCCACGATCCCAAACCCGGTCAAGCCTTGTTGTTTCAAGGTCTTGATTCTATCAAGGAGCGACTTGATTTTCTGAACCTCCTCAGTCGTCAATGGCATTTTCTCCCACCGATCATTAATGACTGGACCAGCATCCGAATACACAATAAGGGGAGAATCCATATTCTCAACATAAAACCACTCGGTCCTCCAGTCTTTCACCGAATCAACTAAGGTGTAATCGAAGTACTCCTTCTGCTTGTTCTGGCAAAACTGAATACTGCACTCGCCTAGGACAGAAGTATTGTTGGACCTAGGGTGCAGTTTTAGACGGAAAAGATACCGGAAGAGCGTGATAGAAGGGAGGATTCCAAGAAAAGTTTCACAAAAATAAACAAAGACAGAGAGATGTAGAACCCCATTCGGGGTGAGATGGTTTAAAGAAATATCAAAGTAACGAAGGAAGTGATGAAAGAAAGGGGAGGCAGGAAGACACAGGCTAGCACGATTGAAAGACAGGAAAAGAACAATCTCCCTAGGGTTGAGATAAGGAACTCGATGCTCATCAGGCACCCTCCACTCGGCAAGACTCTTCTCCTGGATCAAGCCCTCATCGGCCAACTCTTTCAATGCTCCTCTTTAGTGCTCGGAGCAGGCCAGCTGTTAGCCGCAGCCCTCATGGCCATGAACTCTTGGTTCTCAATCACAGAAAGCGATGCCTCCTCATCCACGAAGGCTGCCTAGGACTTGCTCGATGACTTCTTCTTGCCCATGTACCAGCAAAAGCACTAAGAACAAAAGATGGCGGCGCTCAAGATGACGGTGACAACGGCGGCGGCGGTGCTCTGAGTGCTAGGGTTTTAAAGCAAAAGCAGGATAGGAAAAAAGAAGAAGAAGAAAGGCCCTTAAATAGATTTATAGCAATAAAAACATGGCCCACCAGGCCCATTTAATATGGCATGGGAACGCAACGGTCTATCTCTCGCCATAACTGACGCTACTGAAATGATGGACGGCGCACCTTTTCGCAACGGTACAGTTCAACGGGCATATTTCAGACCTATCCATCCAGTACCACGACAGAGTTGTTATATTACTCCAAAAAGAACTCATTAACCGTGAAGCAAAGAAGGGTTACCACACAAGGAAGACAAAGAACTCAGTTTTTGCAGAAAGAACTCGGGAGTCTTAGAAACAACCGGGACAATATAACAGGAATAAGAACGATAACTCAAAAGATAAGATTCTTTTCATTACAAATAACTTTGAAAGATACAAGATTACACATCTTACAAGACCCTACGAACTCGCTACCAAGACAAGCAAGGTAGCAACAAGGAACCCGGACAGAACTAGGCTCTAGAATGACTACGTGTTCCAAATTGCTACTCGGCAGAACACACCCCACTCGGCTACACTGTTTTCTTCAAAGGACGAGCACAGTGCATCCAAGACGGAAATTACCAGCACAGCGGGACAACATGTACCAGGAGAGGCTTGCAGGCATCAGTCTATCCAAGTCCGATGTGATGCTGGATCAGGTGTTGATCTGTACCGGACAGTCACATGGCAGGCGAGGAGGATCAACCCAGAACTGCTGGATAAGGGAACGTATCCCACATGACAAGACTTCCTCCACCTACTGCCATGTACTTCCTGGTACAATGCCACTGCGAGATTATTCTACCTCTAATCTCTATCACAAGACTTCTTCCATCTACTACAAGATATACAAAACTTACAAAACACGCCCGGAGGCTGCTCTACTTCACAAACTATCATATTCATGACTACAGAGACTTCAGACTATGCAACAAGATGTTTGATGAATCAAAGCAGCACACCAGGAGGGTATTTATAGTCCAAGGAGCGATGCACATAGACCGGGAGCACCAATAGAACAAGCCTGACAAAGGACTCAGTCAAAAGACAGAAAGCAATAAAAGAGGACACAAGCGTGAATGAACAGTGCTCAAGGACAAGCATATTCGGAAAAATATACCAACACTGTACAACTCGTGACTAAACAGCATTTACACTCAACCACTACCTTCCACCTACCTCTAGCAAAAAGCAGGCTACCTGAAAATATGACAAAAGACCTTCTATCCGAGTTCTTCTTAAATAAAAGAACCCGGATATATACTCGAGGGCTGCAGGGTACATATCCTCAGAAGAGATTTCTAGTTTTTTCAACGACAAAAATTCAAGACCCTCCAACTTTTTGTTCCAAATAGCAAGAGGCTCGGGGGCTACACTCAGTGAGTGCGCTTTTTCTTCGAAAAAACGCACGTCACTCAAAAGACTTCTTCAAGACAGGACCACTTCAAGGCTTCACGTCGAAAGAACCCGGACCGAGCTTGATTCACCAGGCAAAGCTAGGAAATAAGGAGGCTTTGAGTTCAACCATGAAATGCTCGGAGGCTTATCGATGCGGGACCCACAGGGTTTCCTGGCGAAGTGATTACGACCCGTGGGCCCTGGCCTGGCCCATGGGCAGAAACGAGAAGAGGTGCAGCATCTGCTGCACCGAATTTGAGTAGAATAGGCCAAACTAGCTGGATTCCTATAGAAAGTACCTTCTGTATTTAGTTCAGGACACTTTCTTTAGATCCGACTAAGATTGTAATCGCTCTATGGCCTTCTCTGTCTGTATAAAGAGAGGTCGTGGGCACCCCTAGAGGGAACAATTGAACGCATCGATCAATCCAACGCAAAAGGCTAACACCGATTAGACGTATGGCTATTACTCGATCACGGTCAAGGGCTCGAACCAGGCTAAATTAACTGTCTCTTGCATTAATCGTCGAATTCTACATACGCCAAAGCCCGAACAACTGCCCCGGGTATCCCGTGGCAGGCTGTGTGGTAAAACATCGACAGCAGCTCACGTGGGGAGTTTCCTCACCGCCCACCACTCGTCCCGGTAACTTCTCGCGTCGCCATCTCCGTCCCCGACACCATCTCCGGCCATCTCTGGTCGAGCAGCTCCATTCATGGCTCTACTCCATCGCAGGCGCCCACGGACTCGTCCTCCCTGCTCGTCGCCGTGGCAGCCGCGGCCGCGACCTCCGACGCATGGGGCACGCTCTCGAGCGCCGCGATGCGTGCGCGGGAGCGCCGCCGGTTCGGCTCCGGCGGCCGCTCCACTCCCTCCCGCTCCTTCTCGTCCCGGTCCGCCAATGTGCGCTTCCCGGGCGTCGCAGGAGCCTTCGCCTCCCCGGTCCGCGGCGGAGGAGGAGAGGGCGGCTCTGGATCGTGGATTTCCCAAGCGTGGCGCCGCTCCCATCTCCCACCGCGCCGCCGCCCAGTCCTGACACCCGCCCTAAGCTCGCCGGAGGATGACTGCGACGTCTGCCTGGTCCCGACGCCACGCCCCTGCTCCTGCGCGTATCGCCCTTCTCCGGACGCCCGCCCGCCCGGATCTCGCCGGATGGCGGCTGCTCCGGTCCTTGTCTGAGGCAAGCTGTCCTTCTCCTCCGCGCGCCGTCGTTCTCCTCTACGCGCGAAGGTCGATGGGGTGCTCATGGTCCACGCGCGGTGCTCGATTGGAGCACGACGTGGAATCCAGCACGGAGTCGTCCTTCTCTGCGCGCCGTCGTTCTCCTCTGCATGCACCTCTCTGTGTTGATGCTGTGTATGTGTTTGGACATCATGGTGGAGGCGGATGGGAGGGGGACGTTGATGACGGTGAAGGAATCATGGCGACGGTGGAGGTGCCTGCTATGCTTAGAACATGTTCGACGAATTGCCTCTATAGGTAAACTTAACTAAGTCCAGATGTGGTGATTTTATCTTAGAAATACAACCAACTAAACAGAAACTCCCGGTAACCAGTCTCATATTCGCACACAACCAAATACACACCGGTTAGCTATCTAGGACCAGGGCTGAGCTGCCTGCTAGCCAGACCAAAAGACCGACAAACCAAACACACCCCTCCTGACCTGACGACACCCCTTGGCTGGATCGAAGCTCCTCCCACGGGCCACGGCTCGTCGAGCCGGTTGCCGGCGGCGGCAGCGCACCACCACCCTCCGTTCTAGAGCCTTCGACTTCGACGTAACGTGGCGACTGGCGAGTAGTACAGGCCGCGATGGCCTGTGTGACATGTGCTGTCTGAAACTGTGACATGTTTGTTCTTGCCCGTACAGGCCGCGAGTACCGTCCTCTATGCCCACACTACGGTGGGAGGATCCTTTGCGGCCGCGTAGCCATGGGTCCAGGTTTTGTCGTTGCCTTCGCTGTCCGTTCCGGGCCCTGTCCACAGGAACTGTCCGAGCTTGTTCAACGGAAAAGCTCTGTACAAAAGCTAGGACGAGTAGTATTTAGCCCGCTTTCATCAAATCTTTATCTTTATGTAATTCTTGGCAATGTATGACTCACCACTTTAAAGTCCAAACAAATGTTCCTTTCGATCGAATCCATCGATGAAGCTTAAAATTCACGCCTAAGCGGTAACCAAAAGAATTTAGCAGCCGCCGTGCTAGTAAATTTTTCTTCGAGTACGAATGTAGGACATCGGAGTATATAGAACTTAGAAGTGTAAACAAGTACTACTCTAGTTCATTCATTTTCCTGGTAAAAAGTTACTGATAAAATGAATCTGCGGATCCCACCTGTACTCCACTGAAGCGGAAATCTTCCGGTCCGATCGTTCGGACCGGATACCGCGCCGATGATTCCCGCGTACACCGCACCAATGGTTCCCGCTTACGAGTCCTGCCTGTGAAATATTTCTCGTTATTACTATTATATTTCTCGTTTTTCTTTTGCTTAACTCTCTTTTCCTTTTGCGACCTTTTTTTCTTAACTCTCGGTAGTTAGCTTCTCTTTTTTTTCTTTTTTATATTTATTCTTTTCTTCATTCCGGCATGCAACGTTAGTTTTTCTTTCTTTCTTTCTTTTTGTTTTGTTTTCTTTTTCTTTTTTTCCTTTTCTTTTATTTTCTTATCTTTCTTTTTTCTTTTTCTTTTCTTTTTCCTTTTTGTTTTCTTTTCTTTTTTTCCTTTCTTATTTCTCTCTTATATTCACATACTAGTCGTGTGATGTTTCTATTTCTTTGTCGTTTTTTTTTTATAAATTTCTTTTTTGTTTTCTGTGGTATTTTAATTTTCCTTTCATATTTTAGTATTTTATTTTTCAATTTTTTTCCTTCCACTAGGCTGGTATTGGTGTTATTTTTTTCGCTTCTCTAGGGTAGAATGGCATCTTTTTTTCTTTTAACTCCTACTAGACTATTAGGTTAGTTTTTTTTTTTTCTTTTATTTCTTATTGCCTTTTCCTTTTTATTTTCTTATTTTCTATTCTATGTTATATTACTCTAATTAATTATTTTATTTTTTTCATGTACATATTTATTTCTTATTTTCCTATATATTTATCATATCATATTCATGTTTTATATGTATTTTCTCTTTTTTGCTATTCTTTTCATTTTTATATTATTATTGCTTTGCTATAATTAATTATTTTATTTGTTTTATTTTATTTTTATATTTTACTCTTTTCTGTATTTTATTCTTTTTCCTTTCCTATTTTGTCTTTATGTTTTCTTTATATTTTTTATTTTTTATTTTTCTATTTTATCTTACTTAATTATTTTTTATGTTTATTTTTTTATTTTCTATATCTCATGCTATGTTCAAATAGTATAGATGTGATGTTTTATGATTTTTTTTATGTTCACGTTGTATAGTTGTGATGTTCGTATAGTATACATATAAAGTTCATGAAGTATTTAATGATGTTCTAAATTTTATGATGTTTATGTAGTATACAAGTGTTGTTCTATTATATTTTTTGTGATGTTTCATAGTGTATTTAGTGATGTTCACTTAGTATACATCTTCTCTGCTCACACAGTGTACATGTGATGTTCTATGATGATTTAGTGATGTTCACGTGATATATATGCGATGTTCTATAATCTTTTTAGTGATGTTCTATGGTGTATTTAGTGATGTATACATGTGATATTCTATAGTCAATTTTTAGGATTTTTGAAAAGTATCCATGTGATATTCTTTTTAATTTTTCTCTATTACGTTTTTTTATTTTTTTCCTTATGCTTTACTCTAGATTTTTTTTTGTATTTATATTATGTATTTATTTATTTATTATGTATATATTATAATACCAATATCATACACCTAAAACTAGAATATTGTTCTTCTAAATCAAGAATATTTTTTTTGTAAAGGCGGAACATTGTTCTCTAAACCTAGAACATCGTCTCTGCTCAATAAAAGAAAAATGTTCTATCTTTAAGAAATAAATGTTCGTTAATAAAATTTTATCTAAATATATTCATGTGGGGTCTTGTTTTGAAGGATTTATTATAAGAAACACAATGGTGTAATCGGAATTCAATTTAGATACTCGGTTTAAGTTATGATTGTAAAAAAGAATAAATATATTCAGTGGGGTCTTGTTTTGAAGGATTTATTATAAGAAACACAATGGTGTAATATTAATTCATATTTAGATTTTTTTACTCGGTTTTAAACTTTTTAGTTTGTCAAAAAGAATAATGTCATTTACATGAAAAAAGGTAATCAAATCAAACGGATGGAAAAGATTCTCTGACATTTTGACATGCGCTCATGCCTCCTTTGTCTGGCGCGCTGCTCTTTTATCATTCAAAGAATAATGTCACTACATGAAAGTGAGGTGCAAATCAAACGGATGGAAAAGATTCTCTGACATTTTGACATGCGCTCATGCCTCCTTTGTCTGGCGCGCTGCTCTTTTATTATTCGTGCACGCCTAGGCAGTACCGTTTGGGCAGGAATCAATTGGGCGGGAAACCATCGCACGAAGAATATGGTCCGCCCATCGGACGCTAGCAGGCCCCCACTGAAGGGCCCTGCCGATCGTAAAAGGGCCACACATTCGACCGCATAATCAGCGGGCTAGCGTGCGGCCGATCACTTGCGTGCCCCCTTCGCCTTTCCCCCTTATCCCTTCCCCTCCACGGGCCCACTCCTGCAGCCCCTCTCCGGCTCTTCCCTTGCCCACAAGCCGCTCTCGGCCTCCCTCCCACTCCCGGTAAGTAGAGAGAAAATTTGCTCATTGCCATTAAAATCTATACCAATGTTTTGATTGCCATCAAAATCATAGATTTCCTTAACTGCATCAAGTTGTGATATTTGATTCCCTGACTGCCATCACCGTTACTCTTCAGTTAGATTTAAAGTGCTCGCCAATCACCATCTTATTCTGCTGCCAGCGAGCACGTACGCTAAGAGTGCAGCAATGGTGATGAACTGATATGATGATGAGCACGCACTCTGGAGTAAACGATGCTTGGATGGAAGTAGTGTCATCTCAAAGGCAGTCATTTTGTCAGTTGATGTTTCTTGCTCTGAAGTAACTGATAGTGGGATAGATCTTCTTAGAGATTGCTCAAGCATGCAAAGCTTGGCATGTAATTACTGTGATCAAATACCCGAAAGTGGGCTGGTTGTATTGTCAGGTTAGTCACATGTTTCTTACCAAGGTTTTGTTTATTTAAATGACTTTAGTTCACTTAAGATGGATTTAAGAATGAGCTTAAAAACTCTGTCCTGAGTGCAAGATTAATGCACTACAATCAAGTTGGTTCTTCGAATGGTGGCTTATTATCAAACTCATATGTGTTAAGAAGTCCAACCCTTACCCTAAACTTGGTCTATTGATAGCACTTCAAATACAAGTCCCTATTTTAATGTGTTATGTACTATTAGTCAGTTAACTTGCTATGCTTCAGAACTTGTATTTTGTTATACTAAAACTTAATGCTTCTATATCTGCAGGACTGTCAAACCTGACTTCTTTAAGCTTCAAGAGAAGTAATGCTGTTACTGCTGAAGGAATGAGAGCCTTTGCAAATTTAGTTAACTTGCTAAATCTCGACCTTGAAGGTTGCCCAAAGATTCATGGTGGCCTTATTCATTTAAAAGGTCTCCTCTGGTCCTCGTGAACTTTCACTACTTTCTGAGTTGTTGACTTGAAATATCAGTTGCAATGTCTTTTTATTTTTCCAGATCTGACAAAGCTCGAATCATTGAATATGAGATATTGCAATTATATTGCGGATTCAGATATCAAATATTTAACAGGTAGCATCATATCTGTTTGTTTTTGTGTTTCCCTCGGAAACATCATATGATATCAGTATGTCAGACAAAGCAGTTGTCTTGATAGAAATTTATCTATTGTCATTTTCAACATAGTAAAATTTATAAGATGGCATTCCCAGATCTCCCATTTTGCATGGCTGATGATCACCTTTCTTTTGTAGATCTTACAAATTCGAAGGACCTTCAATTGTCATGTTGTAAGATCACAGATCTGGGGGTGTCGTATATCAGAGGTAAACAGTATGACAAGTTTCTTTATTTGTTTGGAGATTGATCGTTTTTGCTGTGGATGTACCGCTGTCGGCTTTGGGCTTTATTTATCTTTTTAATGTATATTGATATTTATGACCTGTGTTTAACTGTGTTGTAAGTCGATCTAAAGTTTGACAAGTATGCTTATTCTTCCCTGTAGGCTTGCAGAAGCTCACTTGAACCTAGAGGGCTGCCCAGTGACCGCTTCTTGTTTGGAAGCTATTTCAGGTCTTGCATCGTTTCCTAATAGTGTCTTGTGTTGTGCTTCCGAATCTTGATATTATATGACCTCATTCAAAGTTTCATATCTGTTTCTGTTGTTTTCTTGGTTCATCAGCGTTCGGAATTCTACCTCTGTTGCACTTCTATGGAATGATAATGTACTAACTTGCTATGACTTTTTGACCTTTTCCCTAATTAGGTGCCATAAACTGTTCTGTTATCTGCATGCAACACAAACTCTTGATTTATGTGAGGCTGGCTTATGAAATTTGTATATAATAAAGTGCTCAGTCATTAGATGCTTCTACAGAAAAATTACAAACTTTAAGAACAATGTGTGGACGAGGCATTTCTCACTCTAGGAGCAAATAGAGTTTGATTGCCGTTTAGTATGATTGCTTTCTTATATTTGTTATAATCAACGCTAGCTTTCTTTAGGATTTACAACTCAGCTCTTGCAGATGAGAACTGATTGCCTGATTATATCTTGCACTGATCATTGATCTATATGGGTCATTGATTTTAGTATACTTTTCTGTCTTGTGTTCTATTTCTAGGATATCAGTTGTAGGTGCCAAATGCATCTTCTTAGCAATAGCTGGTTTTGTTTGGTCTGTAAGATCTCTTCACTTCATTGCCATTAACTTTTGTAGGATTGTCTTCATTGGTATTGTTGAACTTGAACCGTTGTGGTATATACGATGATGGCTGTGAAAACTTTGAAGGTAAATGTAATTCTACTTGCTAACTATTTCTGGACTCAGCAGTTAGCACTAGTGCAGTTTTTATAATATGCAAATATTAATATTAAGTGGCATACATATTTGTGCAGCCAGGGTGTGTTACTGTGTTTTATATGTTTGGGTAATTTTTCCTTTTGTTAAGTGGCGTGTGTTATATGTTTAATGGTTTGTGTGTGTGCGCGCGCGCATTTGCGTGTTTTTGTGAGCGCACGTTCGTGCATGCAGCATTAGATGCAAGGAATTTGCATGAAATTTGGAAGGATGTTTATGAACCTGACTCCCACCTTTTCTTGTTCTCCTCTGTATAATGCCCAGGTTTAGTAAATAATAGGAAAATAACATGAATTCGGTTGCAAAAGGCATTTATTTCAAGTACTTTATAAGTTCTTACCTGCTTTTATGTGCCGTACATGATATATGCATTTTGTTAGCCACTGAGCATGTGTTACCCTGATAACTGATTTAATCATTCTTGTGCATGTTTATGTCATGCTTAACTACTGCCTAGTTCATTGCCTATTGCTGCATTCCAGGTCTTAAAAAGTTGAAGGTTTTAAACTTGGGGTATAACTATATTACAGATGCTTGTTTGGTGCATCTCAAAGGTATGATCATCTTATAATGTAGTTGAAAACTCATCAACTTTTTACATTTGGATGTCTGCACAATACAATGTATGTATCGAATTTATATTTTATTTATTTATTATTTCAATAGTGGTTATTTGTTTCAAGGAATTGATTTTGCACATAGTATTACATCACTAGTTTATCCAATAGTTTTTTTCCTTTCAAGAATTAAAATGGACTGGTTCTTCAGGGGCTTGGATGGATATTATTCTTCATTGATAAAATGAGCTAGTGATTTTTATTTCCTGTTCTTGATGCCCTGATCAATAAGCAAAGAACACTATTTGTGGAACTAAATGTTTGATCTAAAAATAATCGAAACAACATAATACATAGATCAGAGAGAAGTGTTTCAAAACCAAAAGATATAAAATTAAAGCATGCGATTTCCAATGGGCACTCGTACATTTATATCCACGCATATTGCTGCCAAAGAATGACCCCCTCTTCTGTTTTGTTGCTTTTAAAGATACTAAAAATCCAGAAAGTCATTGTAGAGTAGAACTTCAATGTCGTTAAATTCTTGTGATTTTGTTGCTTCTAGGATTGATCAGTTTGGGGTCTCTGAATTTGGATTCGTGCAAGGTTGGAGATGATGGTCTATCACATCTGAAAGGTGAGTAACAGTTTTACTGGTTTTCAGTCTACTGCATCCTTGAGGTACAGTTCTTTTTATCATCTCTGCAATTTGTTTACTCGTTCCATTGTCCCTATATTCCTGCAGGTTTTCCGTCAATGATATGTTAACTATTTGTTTGACTCAGAATTCATACATATGTATCTGTGAATGTCCATTCCTTCTTAAATCTTTTAGGAATATTTGTGCTTGTACACTATGAGCCTATGTTAATGCAAGTCTTGTGCTACTGCAAAGCTTGGAGCTTTCTGATACTGAAGTTGGAAACAATGGACTCCAGCATCTATCTGGTTTGTCTTGACTTCTGAAAAAAAGAACTAATATTTTTTAGCTCTTACCTCTTAGATTGATTGAATCCTATACATGGTAGGACCCTTGACGAATGTTGTAGGGTTGCTTTTGACAGCAATATACTAATGTATGTGCTTTCGCCCAAGTATAAAAAGAGAATGTTCTAAACTTCTAATTTGTGATGCAAAGTTGCTAACTTCCTATGTGGAAACTGTATGTCTCTTGACAAAACATGGATTATGTGAATATTAGAGTTATAAACACATCTTTTACTTGTTTCACTGTGCGCCTTTTTTTCCTTCTAAATGTTGGAATTTATATGGGCTTGGCCCAATAACCAATTATGAAATTCCTAATAAATCTCAAAGGCCCATTCATGTGAGTAAGGGAGGATATGGTAACTCTTTAGTACCACCTTGCTTGTTGAAGTGGAGGTAGCCATACTTAAATATGAAAGTCCTCTCCACTTCCTCAAGTCTAGTGTGAGGAGCCCACACGTGCTCACTCGCCGGGCCGGGGCAGAGCGAAGGGCGTGGGCACGGGCGCGTGGCACCTACGTGAATTGTCCGTCGAAATCCGGCTCCTCGCCTTGCGGGAGCACAGTCTCCTTTTGCAGTTTTGGTTTTTGGTTTCTTGGCCTTCAAATTTGCAGAATCCAAAACGATTTAGATCGTGATCGCGACACGAGGTCGGTTGGACAGGACTATGTATATGCAGCCTACTGGCCACGCCAAAAATAATCTAATTGAGCTAGGGTTTTTGCCTCTTCTCGTCGTTTTGCTGCCGCCGTAGCTTCTCCAGTTCGATCGTCTGCATGCACCGGCGACCGGACAAGCAGGTCTCCAAAACCCTCGTCTTTGCGATCCTGCACCGAGAGAAGATGAATAAGGTTTTTGGGAAGCGCTCTTCGCGCGACTGCTTCCGATCTTCACGACGGGTCGTTTTCCATCCAAGTCAGACGGCGTTACGTCCCGACGTATCCGTTGTCAGCTGCTCCGAGCTCTTCCACCACTCATCGATGACATCGACCTCGTGCCATCGTCACCAGCTTCGTCTTCTTCTACATCTCCATCACCAGCAATTACATCTACAATCAAAAGGTATATTTCTCGCGTTCTAATGTCTTCGTTCATACAGTTCAATCTGTTTGGTGTACGAGCTATGCTTACACCAGTAGTCATGTTTATGCTATGCAATATATTGTTTGATCATGCGAGTATTCAGTACATGCTTACTCTAGTATTTCAGATTGTCATGATTTATTTTCTGGTTTTAATCTGAAAATTGCCTAATTACTTAACAATCCAAAAATCTTATTTTAGGCCGTTTTCAAAATTATCTATGGCTAGTTTTGTTGACACGCTGAGGCTGAAAAAGTTTTCTGGTGCGCATTTTAAGAGATGGTCTGTGAAGGTCACGGATTGACTTACTGCCATGAAAGTTTTCTGGGTCAAAGATGGATTGCCTGAGAAAATATCTCTGATGAAGATATGAGAAAATTCTAGGAAGCAAGTGACATCTTTGTGGGAGCTGTGCGTAATGTGCTTGCAACTCATCTGTTTGATTCGATGATGCACATAAGAGACGCAAAGGCTATGTGGGATCATCTGAATGCTACCTATGGTGCTTCAGATGCAGGCAAAGAGCTGTATATCATGGAGAGCTTTAATGACTATAAGATGGTTGCTAACAAATCAGTAGTCGAGCAAGCTTATGAGATTCAGCGTCTGGCTAAGAAACTTGAACTCCTTAAATGTGTCTTACCCGATGAGTTTGTGGCTGGATGCATTATTGCTAAATTGCCTTCTTTATGGAGGAATTTCGCCACAAGTCTCAAACACAAGAGACAGAAAATATCAGTTGAAAATATGATAGCATCTCTTGATGTTGAGGAGAAAGCTCGGGCTAAAGACAACATTGAGAAGGGGAACAAGGAAAAAGCTAGCGCCCATTTCGTCCAGAGAAACCATGGCAAGAACAAGGGAAAGCCTAAGCAACCCGCTTTCAATGCCAAACAAAATACTGCCTTCAAGAAGAAGAAAAACAAAGCAGAGCTACCTTGCTTCACGTGTGGAGAGCTTGGTCATTTTGCTAAAGATTGTCCGGAGCGAGCGGACAAGAAAGAGAAAAAGAAAGTTAACCTCGTGACTGCTAGCAGTGCTGATGACGGGTATGGTAATTTTCCTACTGTACTTTTAGTGTTTCAATCTCCAAGTTGGTGGGTTGATACAGGTGCTAATATTCACGTGTGTGCTGATATCTCTTTGTTTTCTTCTTACCAGGGGCTCCAAGGTTCCTCTGTCCTGATGGAAAATGGGTCACATGCTTCTATTCGTGATTTTGGCATGGTAGATCTGAAGTTTACTTCGGGAAAGATCGTGCAGCTGAAGAATGTGTAGCATGTCCCTACTATTCGTAAGAACCTTGTTAGTGTCTCCCTTCTTTTGAGAGATGGGTTTAAGGTAGTGTTAGAGTCCAATAAAGTAGTTATGTCTAAGCATAGACAATTTATTGGTAAAGGTTATGATTGCGTCACGTTTATCTAGCTTGAGTTTAATTCTAGATTTCACTATTGCCAAAGATTCTAAGTGCCATAGTTGTGTGTAATCTAAGCAACCTCGAAAGCCTCACAAGGCAGCGGAGGAGAGAAACTTGGCACCTCTAGAACTCATACATTCTTATCTTTGCGAGATGAATGGTGTGTTGACAAAAGATGAAAAGAGATATTTCATAACTTTAGTTGATGATGCAACTAGATTTTGCTATGTTTACTTGCTGAAAACTAAAGATGAAACGCTAGACTACTTTAAAATCTATAAGGTTGAAGATGAAAATCAACTAGAGAGAAAGATTAAACATCTAAGGTCAGATCGTGGTGGTGAATATTTTTCTATATTATTTGATGAGTTCTGTGTGGAACATGGTATTATTCATGAGAGAATAGCTCCCTATTTGTCCCGAATCAAACGGGATTGCCGAGAGAAAAAACCGCACGCTGACTGACTTGGTGAACGCCATGTTAGACACTACTGGTCTATCTAAGACATGGTGGGGGGAAGCTTTATTGACTGCGAGTCATGTCCTGAATAGAATTCCAAACAGAAATAAAGAGACAACTCCATATGAGAATTAGGTTAGAAGGAAACCATCACTTTTATACTTGCGCACGTGGGGATGTTCGGCAAAAGTCAATGTTCCAATTTCTAAGAAGCGTAAGCTTGGACCGAAGACTGTGGATTGTGTCTTTCTAGGATATGCTCACCATAGCATGGCCTATAGATTTTTAGTAGTAAAATCTGAAGTTCCTGATATGCATGTGGATACAATTTTTGAATCTCGTGACGCTATATTTTTTGAAAATATATTCCCTATGAAAGATATGTGTAGCAATACTAGATTTTCCACTGAGATAGCTCCTGATTTTACTATACCTATTGAGTCTCCTGTTGAGTCATTTGAGCAACCACCTGAAGAAGTCCTTGAGGAGAATGACAATGAAGTTCCTGCGAGGAACAAGAGACGAAGGATTGCAAAATCCTTTGGTGATGATTTCATTGTGTATCTTGTGGATGATACTCCTAACTCTTTTACAGAGGCATATGCATCTCTAGATGCAGATGATTGGAGAGAAGCTGTTCGTAGTGAGATGGACTCGATTCTTTCTAAAGGAACTTGGGAGCTATCTGAGCTACCTTTTGGTTGTAAACCAATTGGATATAAGTGGGTGTTCAAAAAGAAGCTTAGGCCTGATGGTATTATTGACAAGTACAAGACTCGGCTTGTGGCTAAGGATTATACCTAGAAGGAAGGTGAGGATTTCTTTGATACTTATTCACCTGTTGTTAGAATGGTCACGATTCGAGTGCTACTTCTCTGGCTGCCTCGTATGGTCTTCTCGTTCATCAAATGGATGTGAAGACAACTTTCCTTAATGGAGAGTTGGATGAGGAGATTTATATGGATCAGCCTAATGGGTTTGTAGTAAAAGGTGAAGAGCAGAAGGTGTATAAGTTACTAAAGTCTTTGTATGGCTTAAAACAAGCACCTAAACAATGGCATGAGAAGTTTGACACTACTTTAACTGGTGCGGGCTTTGCTGTTAATGAGGCTGATAGGTGTGTATATTATCGACATGGTGGGGGTCAATCTGTTATATTATGTTTATATGTTGATGATATTCTAATCTTTGGAACAAACATTGATATTATTTATGAGGTCAAGTCTTTTTTGTCAAAGAGTTTTGACATGAAAGATTTAGGAGAAGCTGATGTAATTCTAAACATTAAGCTGATTAAGAAAGATAGTGGGATTACCTTGTCACAACCTCACTATGTTGAGAAGGTCTTGAGCCGGTTTGGCTTTATGGATAGCAAGCCTTCTCCAACACCTTATGATCCTAGTGTGACATTGAGAAAGAATAAGAAGATTGCTAGAGATCAATTGAGATACTCTTAGATATTGGTTCACTCATGTATCTAGCTAGCGTAACCAGACCAGATATCTCTTTTGCTGTGTGCAAGTTGAGTAGGTACATGTCCAACCCGGGTAATGATCATTGGCATGCACTTGGAAGGGTCTTGCGTTATCTCAAAGGTACTATGAGTTTTGGGATTCACTATTCTGGACACCCAGCTGTGCTAGAGGGATATAGTGATGCGAACTGGATTTCTGAAATTGATCAGATCTACGCCACTAGTGGGTATGTTTTTACTCTTGGAGGTGGCGCAGTGTCATGGAGGTCTTGTATACAGACTATTTTGACTAAATCAACCATGGAAGCAAAACTTACTGCTTTGGATATAGCTTCTACAGAGGCAGAGTGGCTGCGTGAGCTCTTGTCTGACTTGCCGGTGGTTGAAAAACCAATACCGGCTATTCTTATGAACTGTGATAATTAAACAGTGATCACTAAAGTGAATAGTGCTAAGGATAATGCGAAGTCAACAAGACATGTTAAAAGACGTTTGAAGTTTGTCAGGAAGTTGAGAAACTCCGGAGTAATAAATGTGGCTTATATACAAACAGATAAAAACCTAGCAGGTCCCTTTATAAAAGGGCTATCATGGAATGTGATAGAAATCATATCAAGGGAGATGGGTATGAGACCCATGTGAGTTTGTAGTAGTAGTAACCCAACCTTTTTTTATTGGAGATCCCATGACTAAGGATCTGGGAAAAACAAACTATTGACAAACTGAGGAGAGTATAATTATAACCCTTTCTATGTGAAGATGCAATATTCTCAAAGCGTTGAGGCACTGTATGGTAGGTTGGCTAATGCCTTAATATATTCTATTGGCTTTAAGAAGTGAAGATGCTATCCTACATAGCATTCTTGAAAGAACATACCTATATGAGTTTGACTATATAACGTCACAGTCTATGAGACTTGGGTGGTTTCTAGTAAGCTCATGAAGAGACCAAGTACGACGACGATATGCTCCACCCACGGAGTAAAGCTACTAGCAGCCAAGTACTAGTTTAGCTTTGAGTAAAGCTCATTCGCACAAAACTTGTAATTCAAGGCGTAGTCCATTGTTCAAGTTATGGATGAGTGTAGCCTGAAGTTCTAGGCAGAAGTTCAACTTCACAGTCTCGCCGAAACACTAGTATATCAAACAGCAGTAGAAATAGACAAATCTCTAAATGGGTATTTGAGATCTGGTGGGGGATTGTTGGAATTTATATGGGCTTGGCCCAATAACCAATTGTGAAATTCCTAATAAATCTTAAAGGCCCATTCATGTGAGTAAGGGGGGATGTGGTAACTCTTTAGTACCACCTTGCTTGTTGAAGTGGAGGTAGCCATACTTAAATATGGAAGTCATCTCCACTTCCTCAAGTCTAGTGTGAGGAGGAGAAAGAAAAGCCCACATGCGCGCTCGCCTTGCCTTGCCTTGCCTTGCCTCGCCTCGTGTGAGGCTACGTGAATGGTCCGCAAACCGGCTGCCTGAATGGTCTGGGAAGCGCGATCTCCTTTTGTAGTTTTGGTTTTTGATTTCTTGTAGTTTTGGTTTTTGATTTCTTGTCCTTCAAGTTTGCAGAGTCCTAAACGTCGAGGTCGATTGGACATGACTATATATATGCAGCCTACTAGCCACGCCAAAAATAATCTAATTGAGTTAGGGTTTTTGTCTCTTCTCGTTGTTGTGCTGCCGCCGTAGCTCCAGTTCGATCGTCTGCATGCACCGACGACCGGACGAGCAGGTCTTCGGAACCCTCGTCTTTGCGATCCTGCACCGGGAGAAGGCGAATAAGGTTTTTGGGAAGCGCTCTTCGTGCGACTACTTCTGATCTTCACGACGGGTTGTCTTCCATCCAAGTCAGGCGGCGCTATGTCCCGGCGTATCCGTCATCAGCTGCTCCGAGCTCTTCCTCCACCACTCAGCGATGACATCGACCTCGTGCCATCGTCGCCAGCTTCGTCTCCTTCTACATCTCCATCACCAGCAATTACATCTACAATCGAAAGGTATATTTCTCGCGTTCTAATGTCTTCGTTCATACTGTTCAATCTGTTTGGTGTACGAGCTATGCTTACACCAGTAGTCATGTTTATGCTATGCAATATGTTGTTTGATCATGCGAGTATTCAGTACATGCTTAATCTAGTATTTCAGATTATTATTATTTATTTTCTGGTTTTAATCTAAAAATTGCCTAATTACTTAACACTAAATGCATTATTTCAGTGGCATGCTTTATAAATACATTGTTTTTTCTAGTTGTTAAATTGTTTAATGGAGAAGATCTCCATGTATTTCTGCAGGTCTTTGTAATCTGCGAAGTATTAATCTCTCATTTACTTTGGTCACGGACATTGGTATGAAGATCTCTTACAAGTATGTATCATGCATGGATCGTTTGTACATGGTTCTTATTGTTCCTTTTATGGTATACTACTGGTATTTGGTAGTTCCCACTAATATATGGGGTTGGATGATGCAGATCTCACCAGGCTGACTCATCTTGACCTTTTTGGACCTCGCATAACTGACTACGGCACAAACTGCTTCAGATGTAAGAGCATACTTCAAAATCAGTTTTAGTTGCAAAATTGGTTGTTAAGCTATCAATGTGTTCTATCCAGAGGCTAGTCACAGCTAGTTTATACTTTTCAGTAGTCAATAATCTTCTACTATGTAGTAATACCAGCCTTGTTTGTCAGGTGAGTTTCATGGAACAATACCCAAACTAGCTTGGCACACTATGTTATAAAAAAAACATGGTCAGAGACCTGTTGTGAGGGGGCCTCTAGGTGGCGGCGGCTAGGGTTAGGGGTGGCGTCTAGGGCTGCAGCGTGGGGAGGAGAGGGCGGCTGCGGCGCAGAGAGGAGGGAGAGAGATGTTGGGGAAGAGGACCGAGACTTAGAAGGGAGAGAAGGGGATAGAAGGTCCTTGGCTTGTTCTACTATTACTTAAGATTGAAATGTTACATAGCCTCTATATTTTATAGTCCTAGGAGACTTAAACTTAGAAGGGGAGGAGGGGACAGAAGGCCCTTGGCCTGTTCTACTATTGTTTTAAGATTGAAAGGTTGCATAGCCCATGTATTTATAGTTCTGAAAGACTTCTAAGCGATCTAAACCTATCCAATCTAACTAAGGGGGCGGTGGCGCTACAGTGCGTGGGTAAACAGTACCCACAGTACTGTTTACGCCAGGTCTGCTTTGAGCCCAGTGCCCTCCTTTGGGCCTCGCTATGCCCACTACCACTGGATTGGGGGCCCTCAACAGACGTATGACAGCACACTACATTTGTCTGTTATGACTTGGTTGTGGTGGTCATATAGGAGTATATAAAATGACTGAAGCACTGTACAGAAATACCTTTTGCTGGGCCCTGTTGAGTAGGCGAGCTTGTTGGTCATGTTATTTAGGCATCCCTGTTCCTATTTGAAGATAACAGAGGATACATTATTTGAAATTAGTTATCTTTTATGTGCCTAAGCAGGCCACATCATTTGACACAATTTATGTTGTTGCAGATTTTAAGAATCTTCTTTCTCTTGAAGTCTGTGGTGGGTTCGTTACTGATGCTGGAGTGAAGAACATCAAGGATCTGAAGGCTCTGACGCTGTTGAATCTTTCTCAAAATGTTAATCTGACAGACAAAACCTTGGAGCTGATCTCTGGTTGGTATTATTCTTCCATGCCGGAATAAGTTCACTTTTTTACAGTTGGAATCTCATGGCCATCTGGTTTACAGGCCTGACTGCTTTGGTCAACTTGAACGTGTCAAACTCGCGGGTGTCCAATGCTGGTCTCAAACACTTGAATGACCTGCAGAACCTGCGTTCACTGTCTCTAGACTCCACCCGGGTCACGGCAAACGAGATGAGGAAGCTCCAAGCAACAGTGCTGCCAAATCTGATCAGCATGCGGCCAGAGTAGCTTTCCACTTGATACCTGCTGTAAATAATCATCAGGTTCGAGCATGCTGTTCTGTAGATAAGTATCTTGGAAGAGCCTGAATTGAAGGCAGGCATATATAAGTCAACAATGGTTTTAACGAGCGGTAGGTGCTCTGCTATCTGTCAGCGAGCTCGTTCGTTTCGGGTGATGCTGAAGACATGGCAGTTACTTTGCTTTGCACCGTGCGTGCACCCTACAAGGCGCGATGGGAAGATACAGAATTGTAAATAGCGCGCTTCCTCGCCATCTGGGATGCTTATGTGTGTCGTTCTTGTTATGTTTGGTTAAATTGGAGTTAAGTGTGCGTTATGTTGGTGTTCGATAAGCACTGAGTGCTTATTTTCTTTTTCTCGCGCGTATGCTGTTGTTCATGTTTTTCGCTTTTCACTCTGCAACCACAAAGATGGGCAGGTGACCTATCGGGTATAAAGTTATCCTTATGGCCAAGGCTATGTTTAGATCTCACGGGCCTAAAGTTTAGTTTTAACACTATTTAGATCCTGTGGTATAAGTTTAGTTTGTAGTTCGTTAAAAGTTAAACTTTAAATTATTTTAGCTCACTTGTGTAGTCTAATGAAGGAACGGTGGATGGTTAAATTTTAGAATATTTTAGATCAAATGTTTAGAGTCTTAGGAGCTAAATTGATTTGAAAGATAAAATAAAAAGTTTAATTGCTAAAATTTAGATCATAGAATCTAAACAGGCCTGAGGTGTGATATCGAGTGACGGCGGGTTGAGTCTCCTCTTTAGGCGTGTCTGTGGGAGTTTTTTTTAGTTTTCATTTTTTTACGGAAGTGTGTTTGGTTTTTAATTCTCGCCTCGCCTACGCCTAGCCTTGCTTCACCTGGTTGGCACACAAACCGAGATCCTTGTCCAGGCCGGTGAGCCAAAATGGCGATCTCAAGCCAAATCTTGTAGTCTCGCTGGGTATCCTTGGCAAGGCAAAACAGTTCCTAGCAAAGGTACCAAACGGACCTGGTCCAGTTAAGGGTCTGTTTGGACGGAGGCGGGTATTGTCTTCACCCCGGTTTATCTAGACTTATTAATTCCCATGTTCTATTAGGCGTTAGTCAAGAGGCCAAGACTAATAAAAAACTAACTACCCTGCATGCCTCATCACATATGCCATCGAAGTCTTGAGCCGTTTTCAGTCCCCAACCAAAAACTATATTGTTTCTCTCCACCAAATCTCCTAAACTATCATTCTCAAAAAAAAATCTCCCAAACTATCAAAAGCACAACAGAGTTTGAAGCAAGCCTTCACTCAACCGACACCAGTTGCTGGGCGTCAGCCTCTCGTCTCCTCGACTTTCATGCGGCCATCTCCTCACTCTTTTGTGTAGGAGCATTTTCAACAAGACTTTAAACTGGACCCTTACTCTACTTTTTAGTGTTAGAGAAAAAACTTAATCCAATAAGGTCCTAACTCGAGTCCCTACTCTATGGAGCCCTCTAAATCTCTTCCTCACCCCCATCTCCCGTGGGTCATAGGGAGCTCTCTATTTCTTCCCAAGATTTCTTTCTCTGCCAACTCACTATCGTGCATCCTTTCTTTGTCTTGATTTTCTATCGTGTCGTCGCTCTATCCTTCTTGGTGTGGCACACCCGGCGAGGATCCCATCATGCTATCTTTGTTGCTCCTCACCTCATGCCCCCATAGCTATCTTCGGCGTTCTTCGCTTCAACCCCCTTCCCCCCTCCTCCCCCCAATAGCTCAGTTAAGCGCAACCAAAGTGGGTATGGCCTAATGATGAGTGGATTCCATGTGCTAGTGTCTCAAATCAAATGTAGGAGCTTTGATTTGAGGACTTCTACTAGAGTTGCTATGAATGTGTTTCCTCAAGAAGGTTAGTGGTTTACTCCTCTTAGAGCAACTTTAAGAGCCTCTTTATATCTTTAGTAATTGATACGAATAGAGATTGTGATTAAAAATACCTTTCAACAACTTTTTGAATTAGATCTCCAAATATAAACATCATCTATTCTAGATTTTTCGATGGCCAAAGATAGAGAGTATGACGGCTTTGTAGAGTATCCATAAGATATAGAGAATATTGAAAGGTGAAAAGATTTAGATAGCAATTTTAATTCAAATCACTCTCGTAAATATAATATAGAGGGTAAGTTTAAGAGCATCTCCAAGAGCCTTTCTAAATCTCACTCTCTAAATCATTATTTGAAGAGTCATTTGCATAAAAATCGTTTTCTATATCTTTTCACTCTTCGATAGTTTTTCTACATCTCATGCGGAATCTAGAGAGCCATTCTCGTCTTCTATTTTTGACTAGCGAAAAATCTGAAATAGAAGATAGCTATATTTGATAACCATTTAGAGAAGCTGTTGGAGATAGTTTTTCACTAAAATCTCTATTCCTATCGTTCATAAAGGATTTAAAGAGTTTGTTGGATGAGGTAGGCTGCTCGAACATTTTTGGTGCCACCGAATTGCCCAACAGAAACATGCGGTGACTGTCAAAGCTGCCAGTTCTCTTTAACCCTAAACTTTCATCAAATTGTAAATAAAATAAAATATGTTCGGTGGGATCCCTGGCACGATACGAACAGCACGGCATAGAAAAAAAAAATTACATAATGATATTCATTCAAAAGGAATAGTGCTGTTTGGTTTCCAGTCCTGTTTGTTGCTAACATGGTCAACAACCCAACAAGTGTTCCAGCAGCCCAACACCTCAACGACATCCGCAGAACACGAGAGTTGCGTTGAGCCAAGCATTTTCCGTGCTAGCAACAGAATTCTCCAGGTATATTGCCTCGACCCAGCATCAACCAAAGATGTACTAGTACTACCAAACTAAAACTCACCTGCGGTACACGGCGTCGTGTGCGCGGTGAGCACTCCCAGACGCCCTCGTCGTTGGTGCCGCCGACTCCATCGAGTGTACCGTTCGTGCAAGATCAGCCGGGAACGAAGCTCCTCTGCCGATCGAGGCTGCGCTGCACGGTTCGCGCGGCGCATGCAGCGGGTATAGTAGATTTAGATCCCGAAATCCGGATTGCCCTTGCGCGGCAGAAGCTTCTGTTAGCAACGAACTCTCGCTAAACTCCCCTTTGTTCCCGCAACGAGGACTGCGTGCGCATTTTACCAGCGGCGCTGGACTGCCAGTTCCGAGTCAAGAGGCCTGATGCAGCATGCGCGGGCGCTCGTTGGAGTAGCCGACCACGCGATCAGAGATCTGCTCGGGAACCCGCGTCCGTGCCTCCATGGAGAACGGCGGCCGCGTGGCTGCGATCGCCGTGCCTCTCATCGCCACCGCGCTCCTCGCCGCAGCCTTCGTGCTGCCGCCTCCCGCCTTCTTGGGCGGCGGCGGCGGCGCCGAGGCAGCCAGCATCGTCCGGGAGCGCCGCCGGGAGCACTTCCTGCGGCACGTTCCCCATGAGCCCCAGAAGGCGCCGGCGAGCGCGCAACTCGCCCAGAAGGTACGGTAACGTACGTACACGTGACACGTGCACGCACGCCCGTGCACAAACGCGGCCGCGTCGTCATGGAAATCACGCAACTCTTCGGGAAACCGTCGTTCGTCGTCGCGTTTGATCTGATCGCCTCTCTACGTACGTGTGCATCAGGTGAGCGTCGGGCCGATCAAGGAGTCCCTGGTCCGGTCTTGGGCGGCGGAGAGCGCTCGGCGGAGCTTCAAGGACGTCGGCGACGCCTTCGTGCCGCGAGGCGCCATCTACCGAAACCCCAGAGCTTTCCACAGGTAAACACGTATGCGTTACTGTACTTCTCTTAGTTCTCCCAGATGGAAGGATCTCATCGACCCACATGCGCAAATAGAGGAATTTTTGTTACATAGACACAAATAAAGCGTATATATACCGTCGTGCACAAATCAATAAAAATTCAATCTTGACATGGATCGGATCATCTCGATCAAGGAGCTACCTGGAGATGGAGAGGAAGTTCAAGATATGGACGTACAGGGAAGGAGAGCCGCCGCTGACGCACCTCGGCCCGTCCGCCGACATCTACTCCATCGAGGGCCAGTTCTTGGAGGAGATCGAAGACCCCCGGAACCCCTTCGCCGCCCGCCACCCCGGCGAGGCCTACGCCTTCCTGCTCCCCGTCAGCGCGTCTGCAACTTCGTGCAGTACATCTACCCATTCTACCGGCGCAACACCACGGCCTACATGGCGCACATGCGCCGCGCGCTCGCCGACTACGTCGACGTCGTCGCCGGCAGGTACCCTACTGGAACAGGTCGCCCGGCGCCGACCACGTCATCGTCTCATGCCACGACTGGGCGCCGCTGGTCTCCGAAGCGAACCGGGAGCTCTACACCAACGCGATCCGGGTGCTGTGCAACGCCAACACCTCGGAGGGATTCCGCCCGCGCAAGGACGCCACGCTGCCGGAGGTGAACCTCGGCGACGGCATCCTCCGCTGCCCCACGTCCGGCCTGCCGCCCGAGAACCTCACGACGCTCGCCTTCTTCGCGGGGGGCATGCACGGGCACATCCGCAAGGCGCTGCTGGGGTACTGGCTCGGCAGGAAGGACCCGGACATGGACATCCACGAGTACCTCCCCAAGGGGCAGGACTACCATGCGCTCATGACCAGGGCCCGGTTCTGCCTCTGCCCCAGCGGCTTCGAGGTGGCCAGCCCCAGGGTGGTGGAGTACGTGTTCAGCGGCTGCGTGCCCGTCATCATCTCGGATGGGTATACCCGCCGCCGTTCAGCGACGTGCTGGACTGGAGCAAGATGTCGGTGACCGTGCCGCCGGCCAGGATACCGGAGCTGAAAGACATCTTGAAGGGGGTGTCCGAGCGGAGGTACCGGGTGCTGCGCGCCAGGGTGCTGCAGGCGCAGCGGCACTTCGTGGTGCACCAGCCGGCGCAGCGGTTCGACATGATCCGCATGGTGCTGCACTCCATCTGGCTCAGAAGGCTCAACGTTAGGCTCCCGTACTGATGCAGGTTTCGGTCAGCTTCATTCATGTGGTCGTGTTTAATTAATGTACATTATTCGTGTGTTCCGGTTTTATTTCGGAATGTATTGATTACTATATATAGTAGATTTTTTTCCTTCATGATAGACTGTCAACTGTGTTTAATCTGAGTTGGAGATTGTACGGTTCTAGCTCTACCTACTTTTATAGGTATAGATTTGATATTCAACCCTAAACTGTTGCCGAAGTCTGGATATTCAATCCTAAACTATCAAACCACGCAGGAGCTGCCCATCGGTCTCATTCAAAGGCCTTTGTAACGGGGTAATTTGGAAGCCGACTTGCTAGGTCTGATCTGGGACGCTAGCGTCCGACGGTACCCGGCGAACGAGTGACACCAACGTGTTGGGCTTGCGAGTGAGCGCCCCAGTGCCCTGCAGGCCGGAGCGGGCACGCGTCGCCTCAGACGTCACCCGCACCACCAGCCGCTTTCCACGCGCATCCTATGTGCAACATTTTATCTAATTTAAAACATCAATAGTTGCAACGTATAAAAAAATAGATAAAACACTTGAAACATACATCTAAAACATTTAAAAAAATACTTGAAAATCATTACAAGCATATGCAACATCCAGCTGAAACACTTGCAACAGACATATGAAACACCTGAAAACACTTAACATACGCATGCAACATGCATATATATATGCAACATCCAGATGAAAACAGTTGCAACATACGTCTCATACATATGAAATATTTGGAACATACACTTGAATCATACGTGCATAGGCATTGCAGCATGTGCAACATTCCGATCTACTTTTACAACACCGATACGAAACACTTGCAACATACCTAAAACATATGAAACACCTGAAACATATGTTTGCAACATGCGCTTTCAACGCAACATCTCCTTTGTGGGGGTATGCCCCCCGGTATCCACAGGACAAGACATGGGCCGCACCATCAGAGGTGGCCCACCCAGAAGATCAAGGCATGCGGCGCACGTCGCTGGTCGGCGTGCACCGCAAGGTTGCAAGAATATATTGTAATAGTACCAAATAGGATATTTTTCTTGTAACCCTACCCCTCCAGACTATATAAGGAGAGGTAGGATCCCCTAGAGGACATCTCCACAGATATCCACATACATTTTAATGCAATACATCAGAACACAGGATGTAGGTATTACGTCATACTGATGGTCGAACCTGTCTAAATCTTGTGTCTCGGTGTTTGTATTACCATCCGGTTCCTGATTACGCGCACCCCACCGATTTATCTACTACCATGGACATACCCCTCGGTAGACTGCCGACCAGATTTAGTCGACAGTGGCGCCCACCGTGGGGCGTGTGCGTGCTGATCCATGGCGAACCAGATGGGATCTCAAAATCAACATCAACATCATCTGTGGCGACCTGACGCTACGGCGCAACTTGTTGCGGATTCGTGGCAGCAAGTTTTGATACGTGGAGTCAAGCAACGGATCCTGTTCGGCGCACACGGCTCCACGGCACGGATCTTGGCGGCTGCACGCGGCGGCCAGCAAGGACTTGACGTCCCACGGCGACATCCTCCAGCAACGAGGAATAACGCCACCATGGGACCCCATGGATCTAGGATCGGCACAGTGCCCGCCGGCTCTCCAGCGTCGAATCAATCTCCGAATCAATTTCGTGCACGTGCTGAGGATTCGTGTATGTGCTGGCTGGGTACTAGCGCATCGGCACCGTGTACGATTGTGCACCTACGTACTACAGCAAGCTAGCAAGAGGAAGGCATGCATGATTTACGCAAGCAACGTGTCCGATATACACCGCCATGCAAGCTCATCATGCATATACACGTATATCATCCGTGGAGCGATTCTCCAGCTACTGATCGATCGGCGTCTCCGCTTGATGCTGCACCAGCTAAGTGATGCTTTTTATTTCGATTAACAATTTCATATGTGTCTTCGGATATATGCATGCATCTACTGTGTTGCAGGAATTCGGCCGCCATCCATGCTGGCCGTCTGCATGTCTGCATCAGCACGAACAAAGGTTCACGACCTACGCCGCCACGTTGACTCCGTCAGACCGACTACGCCTGTTCGACTATGTCCGTACAACCCTACCGAGCTCCGACTACATCCGTACGACTCCAACACTGCCGAGCTTCGAAGCAAGTTGTCCGAGCTCCCAAACAAGCCGTCGAGCTCTCAAGCGAGCCATCCGAGCTACCTAACGAGCCGCCAAGCTCGGACATCACGACACGCTCTCTACTACACTTATCAAGCTAAGTCACGCTTTAATGTTATCTCAATACTCTTCAATCTCCGTATATCGCTATAATGTTTCTTCGAATTGTTTTCTTCATGTTTGCTCTCCAAATGATTTTTCGAACCCTCAAACAGTCATGTTGATGCTCGGACGTCTCTAGAGACGGCCCTGTCTCCGACTCCTCCCTACACGTGCTACGGGCTCCGCGCTCTGCGTTATGGGTGGTCGACAACGGCTCCTTGGTCACGCTTGTTTCTCCTACACGTGCACGGGCTCCGCGCTCGACGTTATGGTTATCAGGCTAGCTAGGGCTAGAGACTCACCTACACACTAACTGTTCGGGCGGTTTATATTAAATATAAATACATCTTCGCTCCAATTGATCGCCGAGCTACATACGCTATTTTTTTCTCCGGAGTTCATATAATTTTTACATCATGTACTACCCATTCTACATGTTTGTATTGCAGGATCATCATCCAGGTGATCGGACCACCTGATGCTCGGACTTCTCCACCGATCAGCTGGTCGGACCGCTAGGTTCATGGACTTCATCGCCGACCAGTTGATCGGACTGTTCGCCGGTCGTTTCTACTCAATGCTCACTTCGCCGCCGACCACTTAACCAGACTGTTCGTCGCTCGTGCTTCATCGCAAGCTACGTCGGTTACTCCTCGGCGCTCGAATTCTTCATGCCCGTGGACTAAGTGGGCACACTTCACCTTGTCGGTGCTCGGACATCACCAGCTACACCGAGGACTCCTCGCTGCTCGGACATCGCCAGCTACGCGGGGAACTCCTCGATGCTCGGACATCTTCAGCTACGCCGGAGACTCCTCGCTGCTCGAACATCGCCAGCTACGCCGGGAACTCCCCGCTGCTCGGACATCGCCAGCTACGCCGGGAACCTTCTCGGTGCTCGGACATCGCCAGCTACACCGGGGACTCCTCGTTGCTCGAACATCGCCAGCTACGCCGGGAACTCCTCGCTGCTCGGACATCGCCAGCTACGCCGGGGACTCCTCGGTGCTCGGACATCGCCAGCTACGCCGGGCACTTCCTCGGTGCTCGGACATCGCCAGCTACGCTGGGGACTCCTCGGTGCTCGAACATCGCCAGCTACGCCGTGGACTCCTCAGTGCTCGGACATCGCCAGCTACGCCGGAAACTTCCTCGGTTCTCGGACATCGTCAGCTACGCCGGGGACTCCTCGGTGCTCGGACATCGCCCGCTACACCGGGAACTCCTCGGTGCTCGGACATCGCCAGCTACGCCGGGAACTTCCTCGGTGCTCGGATTTTTGCTACGCCTCATCGGTGTGCTATCAAGCTGCTCCACACTGTCCGGATCAGGGTGCTGATTTTGGGCAGCACGTCTGGGGTCTTGATACGCGCATGACGGATGACGTCGGCAAGCTTTCAGGCTTCTTTTTCTCACTGGTAGAGAACCGAGCTTTACTCCCGGTGGGGAACCCCCTCTAGTCCCGGTTCCCCACCCGGGAGCAAGCATCCGGGACTAAAGGGGGTCCTTTAGTCCCATGTCAGGAACCGGGACTAAAGGAGGACCTTTAGTCCCGGTGGGTAACACCAACCGGGACTAAAGGTGTCTCCTGACATGCCACAATGGCCGGCACCTTTAGTCCCGGTTGGTAATACGAACCGGGACTAAAGGTTTTTTTCTTTTTTCTTTTCTTTTCATTTTTTTGTTTTCGAAGTCGTATTGTACGCTGCTAATTATACATTTATATGCGCGTATAGTATATTTCGGTTCAAGCACAATTAACGTATTAAATCACACAATTCAAGCATAGAAATATATATATATATATATATATATATATATATGCATGCATGCATCATATATATATTTACATGCATGCATGCATATGTGTATTTTACATTATATTATTTCATGTGCATATATTACAAAAAGATTGCATTACAGTTGTTGTGATATAACAAGTTTTCTCTCATCCTCTAGCTTGGCTTCCATGGCGGTGTTGGGTCAAGTAGAACTCGCCCTTGGAATCGATGACTTTGCTCATTAAAAAATCCGCTATAGACTCTTGAATTGCTTTGATTTGGTCTTGCCGTATGACCTTTTCCTCCAACCATCGAGTCTACAGGTTTGAATTAAAGGAAAATAAATTAATATATGTACATATATATTTATATAAAGACATAGTAACACAATCAATAATAATAATTAAATGAATATATAGTGTATTTTTAACGTACTTTGAGTCTCTCTGTAGGAGTTCTTTGGGAGATCACCTTGATAAACTTACAAACATAGTAACCACGATGAGTTGTTCCCCTGTTCTGCCTCGGACACCACTACGAGAAAAAGATTTGTCATCCAATCTCGGTGATCCGGTGAAAGCTATATGTTTAATTAATAAAGATGATGCGATTCAGGGACTTACTTTCAAAGGATTACATTCATTGGCGCTTTGCATTTTTCCATGTGTTGCTTCTCAATAAAGGTTTTCCAAACACCGCCTAATAAAAAAATTGCCACGTCATCGATATAGTTAATCATCATGTTTGTGTGTATATATAGTTGCTAGAGATCCCGAAATTACCTCTGGATAATATCTATCATATCTTGGTAGTCTTGTTGTGGTTTTCTCGTCGAGTCATAGATTATCAAGTGACTTTTCACCAGATCGATGTCCATCAATATCCAGTGATTGCTGCATGTGTTTATAGGATATAACGCATAACACTCATTAATTAACTAGAATC